CCTCCAAAGCCCTTGAATCAGCTGTGATGTTATTGGCAGTTGAATTCTATTTCCCTAAACCCTCAAGAATCTATTACTCTTATCTAGCTATTCACAAATACTGCAGTTGGGGTCATTTCTTCCTTTTCCGCCATACCTAGTGGAACACAGACAGGGAGTTTCTTGTTATGTTGAGAACTAAACCATTTCAGGCAGGATCCTTTGTACTACAAAGAGAAATAGCTGCTCTTTTCATGTGACTCTGCTTTCAGTAGCCTATTTATCATGCAAAATAGATTTACAAAAATCAATTCATGTATAAAACATGATATATGATGACATATATATTTGTATATGGATATATAGATATAAATATATCAATATAGATATATTTCATATAATTTGTGAATCAATCTTTATAGATTAGAAGTCTTCCATTGCTAAAGAGTTTGTCATTCTTCAAGTGCACTTTTAATGTTAAAGAGATGTACTCACACGGCTAGTGAACACAGTTCCTATTCCATGTTGTTGTATATATCTAGGATTAATATCATGGCAATTAGATGATATGCTAAGGCCAAAACAAATTAGGAGCTTCTTATGCTGATAGATGATCACTTACTTTATTTTTTCCCCAAAAGGCCAGTGCTTCCGCCACTTAAAAAGTTGGCCTTCCTTAGGGGCTATACAAAAAAAGTACAAATACAGCAGACTCTTACTTAACCAGCACTCATGTGAATTGGTAGGTGCTGGATAAATGTAATTTCTTAAAAGTTTGGCTTAATAAAAATATAATATCCCATACTATACCATACCATAAACTTTGCATTTACTTGATATTCATATTGAAATGCAGCAAATAAAGACAAACAAAAGGTAACACAATTTTACATTTCTTCTAAACATTGGTTTTATTTTAATCTTGATTTAAAGCATTATTTTGTTGATTTTGCTATATCATACCATAATCTCTGTAATTACTTGATATTCATCTGGAATACTGTGTCCAGTTCTGGGCACCACAGTTGAAGGGAGATGTTGACAAGCTGGAATGTGTTCAGAGGAGGGCAACTAAAATTATCAAGGGTCTGGAGAACAAGCCCTATGAGGAGTGGCTTAAAGAGCTGGACATGTTTAGCCTGAAGAAGAGAAGGCTGAGAGGAGACATGATGTATAAATATGTGAGAGGAAGTCATAGGGAGGAGAGAGCGAGCTTTTTTTCTGCTGCCCTGGAGACCAGGACGCAGAACAATGGCTTTAAACTACAAAAAAGGAGATTCCATCTGAACATTAGGAAGAACTTCCTGACTTTCAGAGCTGTTCAGTAGTGGAACTCTCTACCCGGAGTGTGGTGGAGGCTGCTTCTTTGGAGGCTTTTAAACAGAGGCTGGATGGCCATCTGTCTGGGGTGCTTTGAATGAGATTTTCCTGCTTCTTGGCATGGGGTTGGACTGGATGGCCCACAAGGTCTCTTCCAACTCTATGATACTATGATTCATATTGAAATACAGCAAATAAAGACAAACTAAAGGTAACACAATTTTACATTTCTTCTAAACTGGTTTTATTATAATTTTTGTTTAAAGCATTATTTCTTTGATTTTTTGCTGGTTGTTTGAATTCATGTTATTTAAGAATTAGCTGTATAATTCTATTTAATACATTAATAAGAACAACTCAAACCCAGTTATATTCTCTAAAATCATATATACTGCATTATTGTACATAACATAGTGCATATTACATACATTTACACAGAAATTTCTGGAGATTGCATGTGATTATTTATATTCATATACTTTGTTTTCATTTTTGTCCATCCCCCTCCCCCTCTCTATAAGAAGCACAAAATTGTTATGGGATAGATTAGAATGAGAGAGTAACATGCATGAGGTTATCCATTAAGTTTAAGATACAACTAGTTTGAAGTTTGGATGTAGGGAAATTGATGATGTATTCTTTAATCCATTATTTCTATATTCTGGTTTTTGAGAACATTTATACTGACTAATTTCTCCCAATGCTACAAAACCCAAGTGTAGGGAAGTAAGATAAATAACAATTAGCCATCTTTCCTTTGTAGAAGCTCCATCTGCCCATTGCCCGCAATCAGAGGGTGTTAACAAGTGCTGTTCATTTACCCACTTTGCATTCAATGCAGAATTGGCACTGTTGGATAATGAATTCACCCCCTTTGTTTAGCAATCATGATTCATTGTGCTTATAATTTAGCGATCACAGTGTTCTTAAGCTCTCCTAATTGATGTTGCAGCTGCATTCCTAGATTATGCAAGAAACATATTTATAATTGTTATGAAGGTCTTTCAGGGCTTCTCTCACCAGAAAAAACTTGGCTTTAACCAGCATAGAAGTGTGCTTGAAGTGAGTCTTGTGTGGTGAAATAACTCACAAATTGTCCTGTAGAAAGGGTTTGTCTCTTATATTACATAACAGGTAACCTGTATTTGACCAACCAGGGTGCTCACAGTCTCTTTGTCAACTACCTTGCAGATATTTTTAAAACACTCCATAGACATATTCACATTTTTAGATATACACAATAAAATACATGTACAGTATATCTAAAAATTACAGTGTGTAATAACTAAAAATGGGCAAAGGATAGTTTCTGATTATCTGCCTTGTTGTTAGGGGAAAGCATCTGGTATATGTTTATAAAAGTTGCCTCTTGTTACATGTTTATAAATGAGGAAATTCAAGCATTGGAAAGGTGTATGCTATTTGTATTTCATTTATGGTGGAGGGTTTCACTCAAAAAAATCTATTTGAACTAAACACAAAAAAAGCAAATATTTTTGATTTCTGTCAGTGTATTGATATGAATAGATAATTGTTTGTTTTCCTAGTTGTATATAAAAATGCTTACTTATTTTATGTGACAGTATATTTTATATTTAAAGATGGATGACTTGATCATGTCTCCTTTTTGGAATGACTTTTATTATTATTTGTAAATTGATGGTATTTTTATTGTTCCTTTACATGTATATGCACATACACCATTGAATTTTGCCTTTTGTGAGGCCACCCTGAGTCCCCCTCAGGGTGAGAGGGCAGGGTACAAGTGTGGTAAATAAATAAATAAGCTAGTTTTGCCTGCAAAGTGTATGCCAAAGCAAATTAGAAGGTTTATAAAATAATTTAGCAATGACTGTTTGCTTGTTGACAAAGTATAGAGGTAAATGTTTTCACTTGACATTAAGTCTAGTCGAATCCAACTCTGGGGAGTGGTGCTCATCTCCATTTCTAAGCCACAGAGCCAATGTTGTCCATAGAAGCCTTCTAGATCATGTGGCCAGCATGACTGCCTGGAGTACCATTACTTTCCTGCCATAGTTTCCTATTGAACTACTGATATTTGTGTGTTTTTGAACTGCTAGGTTGGGTGTCGGAAGCTGGGGCTAACAATGGGAGCTCACCCTATCCTGCAGATTCTAACCACTGACATTCCATTTAGCAAATTCTGCATCTTAGTGGCTTAACCCACTGTGTCACTGCGGCCTCTTAAATCTGACAAAGTATAGTTGTGTTTAAAAATATTTTTCCATTTAGTGCATGAGTGCATCAGTCCTAGTTTTTGGAGGGCCTTTATAAAGATATCATCAGTGGGGTTTGTTCTTAGCACACTCCAGTTTGGCAAAGTTTTATCCTTAATCACCAACTCAACCACTCACCTTGTCACCAAATGGGCCCAGTAGGCCACTAGTAGCTGTTGCTGCCCTTCACTCTTTTCTCAACTCCCTTACAAGGAGGCAAAGAAAGAAATAGCAGCATGAGAAAGCAGAATGTTGGTAGTTACCTCTTGAATTCTCAGGGTTGACATTTGACCATGAGGATGGAATTCCTTCTACTAGCTCTGAAAACAAATGGATATACTATTCAAATAGCAGTAGATGGTGTATGAATCTTACTGAAGGCATTTCCTAGTCTAAAAACAGGGCTGATTTGGGAGGAGCAAAGTCTCCATGCCTTAATCTGAGCATGAGGGAAGTATAACACCCCAAGTGAATATTCTCTTTTCTAAACATATTGTAAGAACCTGTTTTCTGCCAGGCAGTTACTTTGATATTTATATGTATTAGGGTGCTAATTTTTGTACTCTGATACTTGGAAAAAAACACACAAATATGATAGTGATTTTATAACCCTACAGTAATAATAGCAAATTGTAATACGAACAGTGGCACTATAGGAGTTTTTTTTAAAGCTTAATATGCCATTTTTTATTTGGGGTGTTTCGTTGTGTGTTTTATTGTAACTTGCTTGGAAATGGTTATATGAAAAGTAGTAATATCTGTAAAGATATTTGTTTCCAACGTTGTAAATCACTGAACCTACAAACACCATTTGAACTCTGGCTTAAAAAAAAAACTTTTCAGCAAGTAAAAAAAAACATGTTCAATATTACTATTGATCTCTTTCTCTTTTTTTTATCATTTCCTGACTTTAAAAAAAAACTGAGGAAATTCATTGGTCTTATTTAAATTCAGTCTGATGCATATTTTAAAATGAGATAGATCCAGATTTTGTCTTCCAGGAATGGAAGAAATTGTCTTATTACCATAAGGCTCTTCCCCCTGCAGTCCTAATACATCTTCCAATTTTATTTATTTATTTATTTATTTATTTATTTATTTAAAGCATTGATATTCCACCGTTCTCACCCCAAAGGGGACTCAGTATGGAGCACAACATAAATACAACAAGCATTCAATGCTGGAATAAATACAAATTATAAATATACATTAAAATCAGTTGTATCCACTTTAAAATCAAATTGTTAAAAACCATCTCAATAGTGTTCTGGAGGGGGGTGGTGGTCTCCAATCTTCTGGAAGAGAATTTGGAAGACAGAAGGGGTTGTAGGGAGGTGCGTGGCAAATCAACAAAAGTAACTTCCTCTTCCCCTGCCACCCGTGGGTTCCCCAATCAAAGCAAATTTTAATCCTTGCAATTGCTTGAATATACCCTAACTTATCACTTTCCCTCTATTGTGATAGGGCCCACCAGGAGCAGCAGGAGCAGAAGGAAGGCAAGGCGAAAAAGGAGCAAAGGTAAAACTGATATATATTTTGTTACAGAAGCAATGGATTATGTTCCCTTCCAAAGTGCATGCTTCCTACTCTGTGCCCCTGACTTGTATGTCTGCCATTTTAAATCTAAAAACGAATCTGCTGATTTATCTACATGAACCGAGGACCAAGTCACATGACAAGAGGTTCACCATCCTGGCAGGTTGATTCTTGCTGATGGGCAATGGTTCCTCCTGATAGGACTGTTATGCCTGTTGTATCTGGATTGCACTAAGCTACACCTTAGTCTCATAAGAAATGCCTTTATCTCTATGCTTTGTCCAAAGGATCAAAAGAAAGATCAGATATGGGTGGTATCTGCTTGAAGTCTGAGTTAGATATGGTAGAGGCAACAGGAAGGAACAGGATCATGTGGGTATATATGAGTGCATGTTTTCATCTACAAGAGAAAATAGAAAGGTTATAAAACTAGTAGCTTCAAAGAAGCATATATACAGATTGAGCATTTCCAGCCCAAAGGGTTAAAGACCAGATTTTTGTAATTTGGATTTTTTTTGGGGGGGGGGATGGGGGGCTTTGAAAAATTTATTGTTTGCACAAACATGCATAATAAAATACCTTAAGATCAAAACAATGCATTTATTTATGGTTTATGTACACCTTATACACTAGCCAGAAGGAAATTTTATATAGTATTCATAATTATTTTTGGGTATCTTGAACTATCAGAAAGCAAGTGTGTCACTGCCTCAGCCACCCATGTAGACAATTTCAGATTCTAGAGTATTTTGGATTTTGGAATTCTGGATAAGAGATGCCTAGTCTGTCCTAAGGGGACAGCACAGAGTATGTTAATGCCACTTATTAGGATCCCTAATGTTTAAAAAGTGTTGCATGGTGGTATAAATATTAGGTAACTGGGGAGAATCAAGTCATCCCACAATTTGGTGTGGTGGGTTGATGTACTTCTGAAGATACAAAGGGGTTTTGATTTCTTGTTTCTCATTCAGTCCTCTACTTTTTGTGCTATCATACTTGATGAAGACTTCTGGAAGAATTTAAAAGTTCACAATACTTTTGTACCACTTATCTAAGCTATTTTGTAGTCCTAATAAAAGTTGCCACCCTTTTCTGCATTTTGATTTTTTTGCAGAATATCTACTTTGCTTTTTTTACTTCAGGAAAGTTTCTTCTAATTGGCAGAAAGCCAATTGGATTCATGCTTCATTTTTTCTTTTGATCTAAGTACAGATAAATGCTTGGTAAAGCTGGAAGGTCTGGGGAGGAGTTAATCCATTTCCTCCTTATTTTTCTATTAGGAACCTACTTAAATTTTGAAATATCTAGGATTTTCCCCTAATCTCAGTGCTGTGATAAGTATCCTGATATGTTTTTATATACATGTTCATCACAATCGCACCATTCATGCTTGGGACCTATTTGAGTTTTATTTAGGTGTTACTTGCCATTTTCTTTTTCAGTACCTGAGCATTTTGTTCACTTTCCATTGCTACTTTCCTTATATGGAAAAAAAACCAACATGTGAATCAACCTCTTTCTCATTACAATTTATACAAAAAAAATCTAGGGCAGAGAGTAGTGGAAGTCATTTCAAAATTTTCTAATACACAGCACCTTGAGCCTTTTACCCTATAAGAAAATACACTGGCCTATTCATATAAGGAATGAGGAACACTTCTTAGTCTCCTTGTATTTCTTCAGTTATAGAGGAATGGAACAAGCAATTCACAATTGTTACTTTGTTCCATTTTGTTTAAGTGTTTTATATTTTACAGGGTGAAGCTGGTTCTGAAGGTGCTCCAGGAAAAACAGGTCCAGTTGGGCCACAGGGTCCTGCAGGGAAACCAGGCCCAGAGGGACTTCGAGGTATTCCTGGCCCTGTGGTGAGTGGATTTGAATAGAATTTTAATCAATGTTAGATCGTTTTCCACATTATACTCTTATTGAAGAATTCTGATTTATGTCACTTCTACAGGGAGAACAAGGTCTACCTGGTGCACCAGGTCAGGATGGCCCACCAGGCCCCATGGTAAGTTCCTTTCCCTTTGGGACTTTTTCATAAAAGAAGAGTACCCAATAATGCATCCTGTATTCATGAGGAAGCCCAAATATATGATAAATGGGCGCTCCTGGCTTTTGCCACTTTACTTGAGACAGGATTAGGTCTTCATCTGGTTTAAAAGAAGGTTTTACAAGGCCCGTTCTGTTATGAGAGTTCTTAGAACAGACGTTCTCAAACAAAGGCTGGCAGGCCAGATGCCTCCCTCCGAGGTCATTTACCCAGCCACCACTCTAAACTTTAGACTTAGGGCCACCCTAAGTCTGAAACAGTTTGAAGGCAAACAACAGCATTCCTAATTAACTTGACTATCTCATCAGCCAAAAGCAGACCCACACTTTGCATTGAAACCCTGGTAAAATTATTCTGATTAAGATTGTCTTCATTTTAAATATCTGCACTACTAATAAGAAATGTGCAGTGTGCATAGGAAGTTGTCATGGGTTTTTTTTTCAAACTATAGTCACTGTCATGTTGCCATGACCCACCCCCCAACAGTTTGAGGGACCATGAACTGGGCCTGTTCTAGTGCTCATTTAAGTCACATGACAGATCACTGTATCACATACTAGAAGATTATGTCCAAGGGATGGATATATATTAGTCTGGACATTCAATACCAGCCATGGCATTAAAGTGCATGAACAGTATGATTAATAGCTGTTCCTAGATGTGTTTTCAACTGCAGAAGAAGACAGTTCACCCATCACAATTGTATAACATTGCCTGTTCAGGACCTCATTACATCTCCAGTTTCAAAATAGATAGCAATTCATACTTATTACTAAAAACCCTGCTTTTTAGTTCAGCAAAGCTCATTCATCTATCTTCAGATGGAAACTTCTGAAAATGCAAAATAAAATAAAATGCCATAACGGGTTTAAGCTATTAGGAAACTGCTGCACAGTCCTATAAGTGCCTTTTCAAACATAATCTCTATTGACTTCAAGGAAACATGCATGCAAGTAAATGTCTGCAATGTTTGCCTCTTTTTCATGACTTTGAACTCTGTCCTCATTATTTGCCTTACACAATATTAAAGGCAAGAAAACTGGGGTACATATATTTTAATACATGCACTTGGATAATGGTTTGAATCCTAAAGTTTGCAAAAAGTTTTCCATCTCCTCTTTACAACAGCTCTCTCCCTAATATTTGGGGGGGGGGGTGGAGAGAGAAAGATGGAATCAAGGAGGAAAGGGCAGTAAAAAAAATTTCCTTTCACTAGGATGGGAATCCATGTTCTCAATGTGTGCTAAAATTCACCTTGTACTTAAAGTAATATGGGAAAAGGAATGTCTCATTTGTAAAACAAATGTGTCCTGTATAGAAAATATTACAGCTGAACAATTATTGTTGAAGTGGGTCTCTCATCAAGTTCCCTCCATTCAGCTCATTTGCAAAAGGGAAGTGGTGACAAACTTTTGCCCATCTCACAGACATGGTTGCCTGAGGGTGGCTTTGAAAAGAATTTTAAACAGAACAGAAAGAAGGAGAAAAATAATTTAGTTTTTTCTCCTTAATAATATGAAGAATCAAATCTAGAATGAATTCTAGCGGGTAGGAGAAGGCATATTATTATTAATTAGTTATTCATCCTTGAAAATTTAGACTTTAAAATTTGAATGCCACTTAAGTTCAGACACTGTAGATGCTGACTTCGGGTTATATCCAGTAGACTGCCTCTGTGAGTAGAATATTAGATAAGGTGGGAGGACAAAATCTCCTGAAGGCAAAAATTGCACCCTGCGTCTCAGAAGCCTTTTAAAAAAAAATAGTACCATGACTACTTCACTTTTTGTTTATGAATTATGTATTACTCTTGGCTCTTTTCATCTAATGATATCCTCAAGAAGGGATGAGAAACATAACACTCCAAATGATTTCTCCCCCTCCCTATACAAGGAGAGTTTGGGCTGTTTTCAGTTTTAGTTTCCACTCCCCCCCCCCCACTTCTCAATCTTTCAGCATGGTTGAAACAAACCCTTTGTAATTGCTAGCCATCACATAATTGCATTGATGGCCATTACTGGCAAATAGCAGCTCATACTAATCAGATTCTGAATATGCCCCATGAATTTTTGTTTATAAGAAAGAGTGCAGTCCTACTCAGAAGTAAATCCAGTTGAATTGAATTCCTCTTACCTCCAGATAAGTGTATACAGGATTATGGTTTGCATCACTTCACTACCTCCCCCTTTCATATCACCCCAAGCCCTCAAAAGTTCAGAGTTGCTCATAGAGTCCCATGATGTTCAAGTTATAATCCTATATCCACTCGCCTAGGTGCAAACCCCATTGTACCCACGTTTGAATAGAAATCTATAGGGTTGTTCTGTTATTCTTTGGGTATCACCTTTTAAAGGTGCAGCTTAACAAATGCTAATTAAATCTTCCCAATTCTGATGTATTCTGTAAATAGGCTTGCATATGGTCATCTGACATTAATTAAGTTCTGATAAGTACTGTATTCTTTGTAACAAAGGAAGACAAAACAACTGCTTGTTACTACTTTTTCGTGGTCAATGGGTAGGGTTGGTTGTTCTCCTCCATTAATCTACCATCCTCTGTCCCATGAAGTTGAAGCCATAATTTATTCTCCTTCAGTTCTGCAGATTCATGCCAACTACCCATTGGAGTTGACCTTCTTGGCAGGGTTTGGTGTCTCAAGACTTCCTACAGAATATACTCTGCTACTTCAGAGTCTGGCCCCACCCTTCCTCAGACCACTAGTCACTGGTCCTAGGAGGATGGTAAAAACAAGATTTCATTGACCGCTAAGTACTGTTGTCAGATATTATAGCACCAATTGTATGTTCCAATAGCACCAACTGTATGTTTCAGTGCAAAATCCAGAGGGAGTAATAGTACCCATAAATGTAGTCAAGCCAGTAATAAAAATGGTTCTGCAACATACAACTTGTTTCAATGGCTCATGCTTTGTTCTACATGAGCGGCTTTACATGCCATTTAAAGTTGGATCAAAATCACAGGTACTTTACTCAAATGAACTACTTTTATTTTAAAAGATATTACAGATAACTTTTGCTTCTTTGCTAGACAGACAGGCACCACTCACTGAACACTTCAAGGAATAATCTGCATTTGTGGAACGTTTTATGGCTCAGGTGAATACTATGAATTACAAAATAGAGGTGCCTCCATTTAAAGTTCTCACTCTTTATCTCTAGGGTCCACCTGGCTTGCCTGGCTTGAAAGGTGATCCAGGTTCCAAAGGTGAAAAGGTAGGTAAAAATAGATACATATTATATAGCTTCTGCATTAGTATATCCGCTCATGCAGTGTTCTCTCACAGCATAGTTATGATACCACTATGTATTGATTGTCAATTCCATTTTCATATTTGACCTACAATCATATATTTTATATATTTCCTAGGGACATCCTGGCCTAATTGGGCTGATCGGACCTCCAGGTGAACAGGGAGAAAAGGGTGACCGGGGCCTGCCTGGCACCCAGGGAACCCCAGGACAAAAAGGAGATGCGGTTAGTGAAAACGCACATTCTTATCATACCAGCTTTGTCACATAACTGTTCAGTCTGTCTTGAAGCTAGGATCATAGTACCAACACTGCGTATCCTGAAGGCTTGTTTGATCTCAAAGAACACTGGGTTGTATCTAGGTTTGCCTTTGTGGAAAGAGAATAATTCCTTCTATGTAGTGAGACATCTGAGATGCAGCAGGAAAACATGCAGTAGTTTCCCCCTTTCTTCATCCAGCAAGAGGTTCTCCTGGATCCAACCTCTCTGTAGGAGGTAGGTCTCCCAGGAACAAAGTTCCACCTGCTGGAAATTTAGACCTACCATTCAGGTTTTTACAGGCAAATAACAAGCAGAAGCACCATTTCACTTACCAAATAAGACATCCTGTAAATATGAATTGCTAATATTTCTTGGGAATTCTGTTCATTTTCAAACAGTTCCTTAAAATATTTGTGTCCATGCACATATTCCCTTAATGGTAATAATTCTCACTACTCTTGCTCTTCTATTGATATTTGGAATGTTTTAAATTATATGACAATGTGTTATTTTGAAAAGGTTTTAAACAAATTTTGTGCGCTACTTGCTTTTTAAAATAAACTGCTTGGCACTTCAATTGACATCAAGTTGTTTACAAATCAAATACATTTTAATCTTAAGCAAGTAAAAAAAAGCACCCCAGAACTTCACATGTGAAATGCCCTGGCTTGTCCAGTTCTTTTTTATTTTAGTGTTGCTTCTATATATTTTTAAAATGTGCCTTCAAGTGTCCCTGGTTGTTTCCTTAATGAATATTTTATTTACATAAAGAAAGTGCTACAGAAAAACAAAAGTACCAAAAACAATTGAGGAACACATCAAACAAGAGAAAAAGAACAAAAATATTCCCTGAATGGAAGCTCAAAACAAAGAAGATTAGTTCTGCATGCAAGATGTTTGCAAATGTACTTTCTGTTAAATTAGAACACTGACAATGAGCAGAGACACAATATTACTTCAGCTAGGCTTAACCTTATTTTAGCAAGCAATATGTGACTGACAATGGGAGTATATTTAGTTCTTTCTAATCAAATTAGCATAAAGGTTGTTTCCCCATTCATCACTTTTACACTCCAAATCTTCTTACCAAGCATCACTGTTCAAGAGTTGATGAAGAAATAATCAAAAATTCCCTACATCTTTTTCCATGTTATATTATAATTACTAAATTATTATCTACATTTCTGTCTTGCTTTCCCTCCAAAGCATTCACAGAGTTGTAAATGGCTGTCCTCCTTGCTTTATCTTTGCAAACATCCTGTGAGGTCAGAATGAGAGAGAATGCTATCCACTCCAGTGTCCCCCAGTGAGCTTCATGGCTTCGTAGTCCATTCAAGTTGGATCTACCAAGTTGCGTTACAGTAGTCTAACCACTACAACATGTCAGTTCTGTTCCAATCTGATTTATGCAACTTTTAAAAAAGAGATTTTTGTGTTGATATAAATATTGATTTATATGATCCTTTAGATTATTACACACACACACCCCAAGTTCTTAGCTATATAGGAATAATATCTAGTTCTATCACTTGATACCTTCAGAAATCCTATGAAATTTTGCTGGTGTATAATAATAAATAATAATAAACTTTATTTGTACCCCGCCACCATCTCCCCAATGGGGACTTGGAGCGGCTTACATGGGGCCAGGCCCAAACAACAATTACAATAAAGAAAATCAAAACACAACCGAAAACGCAAACAATAAAGAACATCATAATTACATAAAACATATGAATACATAACAATATAAGAATTATATTGTGGCTGGCTGAGTGAATTGTGGGAGAGAGAGGAGTGTGTGGGTTTTTTGGAGTGTCTGGGAGTGGCTGACTGTGTTGGAAATGAATGTGAGTGAAAGCTGGTGGGAGTGTTAAGATACGAGTGTTGTGAGAGCTACCTATAGACATAGGAATGGGTGAAGCAGAACCTCATGCGAAGAATGATCTTTTGCACTTTTGCGACCTCCTGAGGGAATCATTTAACCATGTGTTGTTACAACTCAGGTTTTTAAACGAGAAAATGGACCACCTCCTTAGAGGTTTTGCCTCTTTCTCAGGAATTCCAGTGCAATCCTATCCCCTAAAGACTGATAACCCTTTGTGTGCAGATCCGGCTAAGGACTTGTGCCAAAATGGGGAGAAAGGCACTTCGGATCATGGGGTTCCCGGGGTGGAAGGAGGAATGAATGATGAGTTGACTGAGGGAAGGGGAGAATCTTTGGGCATACATAGGATTGAGAACATCATGGAGTGGCAGCGGACTGTGATGGCCGCTCAGAGGACGATCAATAATACAACAACAGATCTTTTGGTTCAGCTAACCGCAGCTTGCACTCAGGATCAACATCTACAAACTGACATGTTTGCAGTGGACATTGCTGACCAAATGGTAAACAGAGGCAGATGGACCTCTAAGAGGGCAGTTTGTAATTCCTTGGCCCAAATCATGGGTAAAAGACCACAGGATATAAAACTAGAAGCCATAGTGTGGTTATGGAGGGACTATCAATCATCTGACCGTTCCTCCCGTCTTCAAATAACACCAGAAGACAATTCATGGCTTGGAGAGCTAATGGCAAAGCGCTCTGACTTAAAGAAATGGGGCATTACCATTAGGAGGGTAGTTGTGGACCCTCAGATACGCCCCTTATTTGCCTCCGGGGTTCCTTCTCACCATACTCCATCAGGTCCCCGTGTATCCACAACTAGCTCACCGGTTAGGGCCTCCCCTCCTGGTTCGTATCATTTTGAGACCCCATCTGTCCCAGTCTCCCCCACTCAACCAGCCACACTCCTTCGCTCGAGAACACTTCCCTTATTCAGCCCACTCAGCTCCCTTGATGTTTCACTATCTACCTCATCATCAGAAACACCCCTACCTAACGCCCAAGGGAGATTATTCCCCAGCCCGATTTCTTCCTCTGAGAGCTGACTAGTTACAGATCCCGGCCATGTGGGGGGGGGGAGGGTTCCGGAGGAAGGGGGTGCCATTCAAGTCGTGTGGGGGAGGAGAAAAGCGGGTCACCAACATCCCAGGGAGAAGCGCAACAGAGTCCTTGCGACCCTGGAGAAGGTAGGTAGTGGTAGGCTCCATGGCAGTCCCCTTGGTCTTAAGGTCCTGCTGATTAATGCCAGATCCGTTAATGGTAAGACCGCGGCCATCCAGGACTTGATCCTGGATGAGAGGGCGGATCTGGCATGCATCACCGAGACCTGGTTGGACGAGCTGGGGGGAGTAAATCTCACTCAGTTGTGTCCACCAGGTTTCGGAGTGCATCAGCAGGCCAGACAAGGGGGGCGGGGAGGAGGGGTCGCAGTAGTCTTTCGGCAATCCATCGCCGTGATCAGATGCGCTGTTCCGCAGGCTTCTGGGTTTGAGTGTGTCCACTTGAAAGTGGGGAGCCGTGACAGTGTGGGGTTCCTGCTGGTGTACCGCCCACCCCGCGACCCAGCAGCCTCCCTGTCTGAGCTAGCGGAGGTGGTCTCTAATTCGGCCTTGGTTTCCCAGCGCCTGGTGGTGCTGGGAGATTTTAACATCCACGCTGAGACCACCCTATCTGGTGCAGCTCAGGACTTTATGGCCACCATGACGACCATAGGACTGTCACAAATAATATCTGGTCCCACTCATCAAGCTGAACATACTCTTGACCTTGTTTTCGTGGCGGACAATGAAATGATTAGAGTGGAAGATCAAAACATCCTTCCGGTGTCATGGTCTGATCATTATCTGATCAGTTTTAGACTTGCTGCGACTCCTAACCTCCGCAGGGGTGGAGGACAGATTAAAATGGTCCGCCCTAGGAGACTGATGGATCCGGATGGATTCCTGAGGAATCTTAGGGTTCTTCCTGCCTTGGAGCCTGGCGATTCTATCGACGCCTTGGTGACTCTCTATAACGGGGAGATGTCCAGGGCGCTAGATATGATCGCACCCGAACGCCCCATCTCGTTGCGTCGTGACAGGCCATCTCCCTGGTTCACCAGGGAGCTGACTGTGATGAAGCATGCGAGAAGGGGGCTAGAGCGCAAATGGAGGAAATCTCGGGACGTGTCTGATCGAGCACGGGCTAAAGCCTCTCTTAAGGCATACTCCGTGGCTATACGGGTGGCCAGGAAATCATTCACGACCACCCGTATAGCGTCTGCAGCAAATAGATCATCGGAGCTGTTTCGGGTCGTGGGAGAACTCCTCCACCCACCTGTGGTGGAGGAGGTCACTGATGACCCAGCAGCTCGGTGTCGCGATTTCGCACACCATTTTGCAGGTAAAGTCGCCCAGATACGCCTTGAGCTTGACTCCAATTTCATCGCAGTGCCAGAAGAGGTGACGGAGGCATCTGCTTGTCCAATCTTGTGGGATTCTTTTAGGCTTGTTCTTCCTGAAACCGTGGAGGAGATTCTTGGGGCTGTGAGGGCAACCACCTCATCTCTAGACCCGTGCCCATCTTGGCTCATTAAATCAGCCAGGGAGGGGCTGGTCGATTGGTTTGTATTGATTATCAACGCATCGTTGGAGCAAGGGATTTTTCCATCTGGTTTGAAACAGGCTGTGGTTCGTCCACTCCTCAAAAAGGCTTCCCTTGACTCCACGGTGCTGAGCAATTACAGGCCAATCTCCAACCTCCCTTTTTTGGGTAAGGTGCTGGAGCGGGTGGTCGCCTCCCAGCTTCAGAGCTTCTTAGACGATACCAACTACCTAGATCAGTCACAGTCTGGTTTCAGGCCTGGTTATGGCACCGAGACAGCCTTGGTTGCCTTGGTGGATGACCTCCGCAGAGAGCTGGACAGGGGGAGTGTGACTCTGTTGGTTCTCTTGGACATCTCAGCGGCTTTCGATACCATCGATCATGGTATCCTTCTGGGTCGTCTCTCTGGGATGGGCCTCGGGGGCGCGGTTTTGTCGTGGCTCCGGTCCTTCCTGGAGGGACGAACCCAGATGGTGAAGCTGGGAGACGCCTGCTCTGACCCCTGGCCTTTGACCTGTGGGGTCCCGCAAGGCTCTATTTGTCGCCCATGCTTTTCAACATCTACATGAAACCGCTGGGAGAGGTCATCCGGAGTTTTGGAGTTGGGTGCCATCTCTATGCAGATGACACACAACTCTACTACTCCTTTCCACCTAATTCCAAGGAGGCCTCTCGGGTGCTGGACGAGTGCCTGGCCGCTGTGTCGATCTGGATGAGGAGGAACAAGCTGAAGATCAATCCCGACAAGACAGAGGTCCTCCTGGTCGATCGTAAACCGGATCGGGGTATAGGGTGGCTACCTGTGTTGGACGGGGTTACACTCCCCCTGAAGCCACAGGTCTGCAGTCTGGGTGTCCTCTTGGATTCTTTGCTCACACTTGAGGCTCAGGTGTCGGCGGTATCCGGGAGGGCCTTTGCACAATTGAGACTTGTGCGCCAGCTGCGACCGTACCTCGCAAAGGCTGATCTGGCCGGGGTGGTCCATGCCTTGGTCACCTCTAGAATGGATTACTGCAATGCGCTCTACGTGGGGCTGCCCTTGAAGACGGCTCGGAAACTTCAATTGGTCCAGCGGGCAGCAGCCAGGATGCTAACTGGGGCTCATTATCAAGAGAGGTCTACCCCTCTGTTTAAGGAGCTCCACTGGCTGCCATTTATTTTCCGAGCCCAATTCAAGGTGCAGGTGCTCACCTACAAAGCCCTGAACGGTTTGGGACCACCCTACCTGCGTGACCGCATCTCCATCTACGAACCCACACGCTCGCTCCGGTCATCTGGGGAGGCCCTGCTCGTGATCCCACCCACGTCGCAAGCGCGCTTGGTGGGGACACGAGACAGGGCCTTTTCTGTGGCGGCCCCCCGACTTTGGAATGCCCTTCCAAAAGATCTTCGACAGGCCCCTACTTTAGCAGCTTTCAGAAAGAACCTAAAAACTTGGCTGTTCCGATGTGCCTTCTCAGATTAGGAATTCCCCATCCCAAGTCCTAGAAGCACTTTAGTACAATTAATATTGCTGCACACCGCACTATTTTTATCCTACGTGCCTCCTGCCATTTCAGCACTTTTAACCCTGTACCCCATTGCTCTGGCCGGCCCAGTTTTAAAGTGTCCTGATGTATTGTCACTGTTGTTGTTATTCTGCTTAACTATTTTGATTTGCTTTGTTTATTGTTGTGTTATGTTTTTACTGTATTGTGTTCTGAGGCTTCGGCCTATGTAAGCCGCATCGAGTCCCTCGGGAGATGCTAGCAGGGTACAAATAAAGTTAATAATAATAATAATAATAATAATAACAATAGACACAGGCACAGAAACAATGGGCGGGCTGCATGTAATGATTAAAAACAAACTAATTAAAACGAATTAAAAACTCAGACAAGATAAAAGAGAGAAGCACTATTGGAGTAAGATCTTCATGTTTGTATTTTATTTGAAATAAGAAGTGCATTGTCAGAAGGAATTGACTTGTGTACACATTATTTTTAAAGGGAATTCCTGGTCCTGCTGGCCCACTTGGCCCTCCTGGACCACCTGGTTTACCTGTAAGTAGCTCCTTTCCATGCATATCATTTTTATGTATTTTGACATTAACATCTTTATAAATACATAATGGCTTAATCTTACCTATATGCTATTTGTTCCCTTTTTAGGGCCCTCTAGGTCCCAAAGGCTCTAAAGGTTCAACAGTAAGTAGTCTCATTTTATATATAACTCTTTTTCCATTGTTGATTATTCTTTTCCCCATTTATGAAAAAAAATGCTCATGTGGTCTGTCTTATATTCCTTCATAGGGTCCTGGTGGTCAGAAAGGTGATAGTGGTTTACCTGGACCCCCTGGACCTCCTGTAAGTAAAACATCTTGCATGATTCATGTTATATAAACTAGTCTACATTTGGATGTAGGATCCTGCCAGCAGGAGATGTCACTTTGACTGTAGTGCAATATATGTGGCATCCAATACTCTGTAAGAGAAGCTGGCCGAGAAATTGCTACTGTAAACAAAGCCACGTTGTGGATAACTCTGAGGCAGACAACTCTGTGTGTTTACCAATCACTATTTTTCAAAATTAAAAGTGGCACTTCAAGATGGCATTTTTAGTAGTCTTTTCAGTCTCTCTAAATACCCCAGGTTCACAAATTCTTTCCCATCAGACTTCCTGCAGCTGTCCTCCCTTCATTTGATCATAAGCAACTGGTGGCTGCTATATTAGTGGAAGGGCGAATCCATGCCAGCTTTTGGATAGTGATAAGTGCGTTATGCAGTGCTGGATCTATTTAAGAATAAAGTTAAGCACCTTGTGGTGTTCCTTTAAAACCTGATTTAAAAGATGGTTTCAACATCCCTTTCAACCTCACCATTCCACAGTGAAACCAAGAGCTTGATCATATTGTTAGCCCTGTCAGTTTTAAGGCATTAAGGAGTCCTTCAGATTCCATACGTCTCTCAGGGTGGGATATCTTGACCAATCTCCCACAGCTACAGGGACAGTCTAAATATTTATTTATTTAATTATTGACCTCTTCGTACAGTAACGTTGTTTCTTCAAATGTTCTCTCTTTTTTCCACTCTGAATCTAAATAAGTAATGTAAGGATCTTCACCTTAGTTTGCTTGCCTGAATGTTGTGGTTCTCAAATACTGAAAGACTGAAAAATTGCATTTATTTTGTATTGTGTTCCTCAGGGCCCTCCAGGTGAGGTTATTCAGCCTTTGCCAATCCAGTCACCCAAGAAGACCAGAAGATCTTCAGATGCCATGATGTCTGATGCAGCTGATAGCCTCCTTGATTACACTGATGGCATGGAAGAGATTTTTGGCTCCCTTAATGCTTTGAAGCAGGACATAGAGCACATGAAATATCCCATGGGCACTCAGAACAACCCAGCACGGACATGCAAGGATCTCCAGCTCTGTCACCCAGACTTCCCAGATGGTACGCTAATATTACATGACAAAAGCAAATGTGCTGAAATTACGGTTTGCTAAGTGATGATGTCAGGTCATTTATTCTAGTTTTATGGTTAATATAGCCTATAAAAAGAAGTTAGCAAAATACTTGCTAAACCTTTTAAATCTTTTTTTTAAGTCAAAGCTCAAACTTTTAACAACAATGGAAGAAACTTTCTGAATAGAAATACTGTTCGCTTTTTGGGGTGTGGGGAGGAAAGCATTACCACCATAAAATATCTTCAAGTTTGAGAAATAATCCATGTGCTTTGCATATCTAGGAATTTTTAAAATGTTTGTGTGAGATATTTATGTATATCCTGATCATCTACTAACAAATATGTACAACTAACCCTACTTCAGTTAACCATTAGGAGAAGATGTACACATTTCTCTACAGAAGAAAGTTGTTTCAATATCCATATAGAGGAGGAGTGGGACCTCCCAATGTGATACAGACCTGACTCAAAACAATCTCCAGTGTGAAAAACGAAGAATCTTAGCACATTCAAACTTTACAGAGTCTTTTGTTCCAGCCATGTAGGATGATGACTTAGGAATAAAAATGGGAAAACCTAGAAAAAACTAAAAAAAAATGGAGGGGAAACAGCAGGGGGACCTGTTTTTTCCCCAAAATGAAAAAAAAGAGAATTCTTTGCTTCTATTACTTGTGTCTTGTTTCCATTTTTTTATTTGTCAACCTAACCTTATATTTTGAGATCTTTAAAGATAATGCCATATTTAATTGAATCTAAGGCACTTTTTTCCATTTAAGGGGCTTCAAATATGAAAAGCAACATGTTTGCTCCAGAACACTTCGTTTTCACTGGTCTTATGATGGTCTCACATTCAGTGAAGAAATTAGTATGTTCCAGTTGGGACTACCCTATTTCCACTTCTGGTTAAGCAAATCACACACATACGTATTTCTCAATGTTAGCAATCCCCTGCTGACTGAAAGCTAGTGATATTTAGCTTTCTTCAGAACATGCTAAATTTCTAAATGCATATGACATTTGGAAACCATGGAATATTCAAACATGGAATGCATTCTGAAATGGCACAGTCCTAGAAGACTCAGACCATTTGCCAAGCTTTAGAAGAATTCTTGCTTGTTACACTTGTGTACATTTGTTCTGCTCTCACAGTCCTTATATTGACAAGGATTCAATTACAGACCAGAACATGCAAAGCAGCCTATGGCTTTACACTACAAGTTGAGTGTGACCCGAGGGAGAAGGTGCATATTGCCATCTTTATGTAGCTTCTTATTCCCATTGAGCTTATAGATCCCATTCAGTGCTACATAACTATTATTTAAAAACCCTTGCCCAAAGTTTCTTAAACAGGCATACTTACCAACTCTTTTTTGGAAACAATAAGGGAAATGAGGACCATTTTATTCTGTGAAAAGGTACAAAACATCTAATTTTATCACTAAAATTTTACAGTCTCATTTAGGAGGCAGTAAAGCCTTAGAATCAGGCAAATAAATCCTCTGATGCAATTCTCTTCTTACTCGTTTCAGGAGAATATTGGATTGATCCCAACCAGGGTTGTTCTGGGGATTCTTTCAAAGTGTACTGTAATTTCACAGCAGGTGGGGAAACTTGCATCTATCCAGATAAGAAGTCAGAAGGAGTAAGTACCAATTTGTTATTATATTCACTGCTGACGGTTCCTGCTGAGTTGTTTTGAGATAGGGACAAAAGGCAGACAAATGCAGTCACGTTTTTGTTCAGGCATCTTTTCTTTATTTGCAAGATAATTACTCTGCCACATTTACATAAACTCAAACAAGGCGGTGAAATGATAATACGCCATTAAGAAAGTCCAGCCTCCATCGGACACAAATGCTTATTCTATGCAGATGCCGTTGTTCATTGGAAACATTTTCCCTCCATCCCTTGCCACAGCTGTGCAACCATTTTAATGATGCAAAAAGCACACTCTGATTCATGGGAAATGATGTCATTTTTAAGATTTTCTTTTTTCATTTCCTTCCTGGAATCAGTCCAGCATGTGTGTGGGAAATATCTGTGTCAAAGACAGCAACCATACATATTTAAATACATAATTTATGGAACTCTCTTTACTGATTTCCAAAAGAGTTTGTTTTCTTTCAAAATCCAGACTTTAAATGCGTTGTGATCCTTCTTTGAAATGAGAACTGTGTGAGGACAATCAGGAAACTGAGAAAAAGGCAAATTGTTCTTAAAGGTATAGATTGGCCCAGACCTTGAAAAACTTGTTTTTAATTACAGTTCCTAGATACATTTTCTCCATAACCAGCACAGCCAGTCACCCAAAGAAGCCACTTCCCCCACCTTTTGTTTTTGTTAAAATTGTTCATTCTGGAATCCATGGAGATTAAATTCCTCAAGTATTTCTCCATATTTGTTATATGGTCGTAAATCAAATCCATATCCAGATGCAAACTAAAGATGCCCCAAAGTCTTGATGCATTACTTTGATACAGACTGTTGGAGAACATGATCTTTTAGAGAGAAAAGTAACAATCAATCAAACAAATAAATAAAATCTGATGCAGCAGAATACCTGTAGTGTTTTTATATTTCTTGTGTGTCTTCAAGATCTTTCCAGCTTACAGTGACAATAATATAAACATGTCTTATGTCTTGAATGTGATTTTCCTGCTTCTTGGCATGGAGTTGAACTGGATGGCCCACGAAGTCTCTTCCAACCCTATGATTTTATGTCACAGGGTTTTCTTGGCAAGGTTTGTCCAGAGTAGGTTTCTCTTCACCTTCTTCGGTGACTGAGAGAGTATGATTTACCTAACACCAACTAGTAGGTTTCCATGACTGAGCAGGAATCTGAACTCTGGTCTATGGAGTTGTAGTTCAGCATTCAACCCACAATACCATACTGATTCTTGCTTTTATATTACCTCTATCAAATATCCAAATCACAAATATCTTACTCACAATCAGATATCTAAATGTCTAGAACTATTTAGTATCAAGATCCAGAGGAAAATTTGGAAGAGGAAATCGATCAGCAGTAAGGGAAAAGATTAGAAAGATTGTTTTATTTGGAATGGGGTTATAATTCAAGTATTCCACAGCCATGGTGACTGGGGGATTCTGGAAGCTATAGTCCAAAAAGCCATTTTTCCAAACTTTGCTCAAATGGTTCTCAGTCTTTGGCTTTCCAATGTTTCAGTTTTGGATTCAACTTCCCAGACTTTCCAATCAGCATGGCCAATGATAATGGATTCAAGCAGTTGATGTATTAAGTTTTCAAATCACCTTTCTCTATGGAGCTGTAAGCACTTTACAGTATTTACCCCACCACATGGACTCTTACCCTGGCACTGAATATCCGCTGAACTGCAGCGGATATATTTTTGCTACTTTTTTAGTGGCCAATCATTCTCTCTTTGAGGGAAATGTAACTGATTCAATGAGAATCACAGAACCATAATATTTGAAGCGAATAAGATGCCATCTGGACCTATATTCTGCCAAAAGTCAAAATATCCACAATTCATTTCCCACAGATCTGCCTGAACCGTCCAATTAATGTATTTGCTTACTTAGTTTTTCTTTGGATAACTCAAAATATTATTAAAACTAGGCAGAAAGCCCAGGCATTTTTCACTATTTCTGCCTGAACTCCCCGTTGTTGTTATTTTAAAAAGATTACTATAGTAGTGTTTCTGTAAAACTCTTTTAATTCCCATTCATTCGTGGTTAATATAATTAACTCCCTTTGCTGTTTCCCCCCTCTAACAGGTAAGGATTTCATCATGGCCAAAGGAAAATCCAGGAACCTGGTTCAGTGAATTTAAGAGAGGGAAACTGGTAAGTTGCCATTTCTTTCCTTTGGAATTTTTATGCAGTGTTGTCCAGACTTAAGTGCCCAAATCTAAGTGCACAAGGCTAATAAGTATATGCAAACATTTAGTTTGCTTTTCCAAAAAAATTAGCATACCATGCCCATGGTTTCTTTGTATCTATCTAAGGCCATAGACCAGGGGTCCTCAAACTAAGGCCCGGGGGCCGGATGCGGCTCTGCAAGGTCATTTACCCGGCCCTCGCTCAGGGTCAACCTAAGTCTGAAATGACTTGAAAGCACACAACAATAACAACAGTCCTATCTCATCAGCCAAAAGCGGGCCCACACTTCCCATTGAAATACTAATAAGTTTATATTTATTAAAATTGTTCTTCATTTTAATTATTGAATTGTTTAAAGTGTTTTTTGCACTACAAATATGATATGTGCAATGTGCATAGGAATTCATTCATTATTTTTCAAATTATAATCCAGCCCTCCAACAGTTTGAGGAACTGTGACCTGGCCCTCTGTTAAAGAAGTTTGAGGACCCCTGCCATAGAGCATCGTCAGAAATGTGCAGCCTGTTTTCCTTTGAATCAGCAGTATTTCAGGGCCAAGTTACTCTCTGAGGGCTCAGTGGACATGTTCTGAGCTCATGAAAACAAGACACGCAACATATTCTTTAAGTCAGGCTTTGCTAAGTGTTAAGAGAAAATGCATTCCACAACTGAGGCACAGCTATTAGGATTCCCCCCCCCCCCTTATATATCTTTGTAATTATGACAGTTGCCTTCAGAAGGTATGAGGTCCACTTTTTCATTCACGGGACCTATTGTGATTGTTTCTGATTTTAAAAAAAGAAAACAAGAAATAGTTATGAATCTGCTTCATATCTAACTTTTTAAAATCCTTTCAATCTTTTAAAACACACAAACACTGATCCCAGAAGCTTCTAAAATCAAGTTTTCCTCTAAAAGAAGAAGACTTGACCCCCCCCCCCCCAGTAAGGCCAAAGGAGTCTTGTTCCACCCCACAGACTATATTTTCCCCATTTCTAATCTAGAGATTTGTTCAAAATATCTGAGATAATTCTGCATTTTTGCATACAGTTGTATATCCAGTGCCTTACTCCTTGGGGTGGATGCATTCATCCTTCCTGCAGCTTTTAGTATTGAGTAGACATACCTTTTTAAGCAGCAACATCTCCATACTTGTGGGATACAGATATCTGTCCCAACCCTAGTTATTGGTCATGTCCTATCCAAAAGCCATCAGATATGTGGCCATCAAAGGCATGAACTGGACACATCATTGAGTATTGTCATATATACTTGTCATATATACATGGATGATATATATTGTCATATATACATGGATGATCCCATTTATAGGTTAAGACAAGGTTTTGATACCAAAATTATGGGTTTTGATATGACCCATGGATAAGTTAAAGAGGAGAGGGGAAAGTGCCAGCTCTACCCCTAGCTGTCACTGCCATTTTCCTATCGAGGCATTTAAAAAGGTTAGAAGTGGCTCCTCAGTCGAGAACGTAGAGGTGCTACTTTACATTCTTCTGAAGCCAACTAAGCTCTCAACTTGCACCACTCAACTCAGAGAAAATGCTAAAAGAGTACACTGATATATGTATGAGTTGACTCAACTTTTTTTTTTTGGGGGGGGGTCAATTTTATCTTAGAATTTCTAGACTTCCACATGAATATATACAGTGTGTCCAGTTGTGGCACAGAATGTTATACCATTTTGATAACATTTTTGTTGTCATGGCACACCCTTTGGCCTGAAAGCTAATAATACACATCCAGTATTATGTTCTCTTCAAAGTAACCAAGATATAATCGATGTTAGTATCCATCACAGACTAAGGATTCTAACTTTATTGACTAGTTCTGAATGTGCATGTGAATTTCTTCAACTGATAGATAAAGCATATTTTAAAATTAATTTTATTTCTGAATTTATTATGTTTTGAGGAAGGCCAAGAATTATTTTACATGCCAAACTATAATTTTCATCTTGTTCCCAATGGAAAGCAACTGCTTCTTTCAGACAAATATTTTAGAGTAGCTGTCTCGATGTATGAAGCAATATTATTAAATTTCAAATAGGCTTTCTGCTGAAGAATTTATTCTCCTCATGCTTTTGCTGGAGAATATATGGCTGAATTATCAAAACATGTTGCCACTGTGGAATTTATTCAAAATAGTGAAAGATCTTTATTTCATACAAAGTCAAATCTGGTTTTCAGGTGCCAGCTCAGTAAAAGTTATGTATATGCAATTTGCAATTGATCTGAAATACTAATGAAGGAACATTGCCAGGAACAAAAATATTTTAGTATAAAATGTATTTTTACTAACAAAGGGAGAATAATGAAGTATTGGAACTAAAAGGGGCTTCTGGATGTACATTTCCTTTGAACATGAAGTTCTGTCTCTTCAGTATTGTGGTTAACTGCTGTAAAGTCAACTTCAACTGATGGGAACTCCATGAATTAGATACTTCTAAGTTACCCCATTCGCAACAGTCCTGCTCAGGTCTTTCAGACTCAGGGCTGTAGCTTCCATGATTGGGTCTATTCATCTAGAATACAATCTTTTTCTTTTCCTACTGTCTTCTATCTTACCAGGCATTATTGTTTCTTCTGAGTCAATTCTACTTATGAAATGGTTAAAATATTACAGTCCCAGTTCAATTATCTTGGCTTCTAAAAATTGTTCAAGCTTGATTTTTATAAGTTTATTTATTACTTTTTTATGAACTATACAGTCAAAGGCTTTGCTATAATCAATAAAATCAGACTGATTTGGAGTGCATCTACACTGTATAATTAACACAGTTTGATATCACTTTAATTGCTATGGCTCAATGCTATGGAATCATGGGAATTGTTGTTTTACAAGGCCTGTTAGGTTTCTCTGTCAGAGAGTGCAGGTGCCTCACCAAACTACCACTCGCAGGATTCCCTAGCATTAAACTATGGCAGTTAAAGTAGTGTCAAACTGTAATAATTCTACAGTGTAGATGCAGCCTTGGATTCCAGCATAGAAGCTTTCCTCCTCCTCCTCCTCCTCCTCCTCCTCCTCCTCCTCCTCCTCCTCCTCCTCCCCCTCCTCCCCCCTCTTCCTCCCCCTCTTCCTGCCTTCTCCTCCTTCCGCCTCTGTAGTTATATTAAGGTTATATTAATGGGTTTTCCCTGAAGTCTTATCAAAATGTCTGTGTCTGTCCACTAACTCGCTCATTCAAAATATTGCAATGTTTAGACATTCCATTTCTTGTTTTCTTTCTGTCTAGTTTCTCCTGATCCACATCTCATATCTATAATATGTGCAGATTTCCTTCCACATATGACAGTGCCCATAACTGAATGTCCTTTCCACTTGAGTCCAGTTGTGTCATTAGCCACAGCACTAGTCATAGTTGCCTTCTGCTGTATTCCAATAATCCATCAAGGGGCATCCGGCCTTGGAGTTTCATCTTCTGGTATTATCTCTTGTCTGTTGTCTTGATCATCTTTTGAAGATCTTCAAAAAGTGGTTTACATGATCAAGACAATGAACAAGAGAACAAAAGGAGGTTTACACACTTCCCTCTGTGTAGTTCTAACAAACACTGGCATTGGCTATGATGTCCCTGCCATTGTCTCTTACCACCTCATCAGACGGGTTGATTTGACTGTCATATGCTGCTTCCTCTCCATGATCAACACAGAGCCCATTACATGATGTATGTGTACTTCCTGCTGAGCTCTGTGCTGAAAGGGGAGGACAAGGGGACTATATCACCATGGCAGCAACCTCCCATTTTTTGAGCAACGGGGGGAAGCCAGGCAGCAATGCTTGCCCATGTAGGATGGGTTTCAGGCAAGGCATGGAGCAACGGGTTCTCCATGCCCTCGCCTGGACCCCATGGATTCATCATGATGTGTGGTGAATCCTTACCTCATTGTGATGAGGTCCTGAGAGTGGCATGCTCCACACTGCTGCTGCCCAGTAGCTGTTTGGCACATTTGACCTGACTTCTCAGCAAAAGCCAATATGTCATGGGAAATGCTACCAACAACTCTCTATGTTCCACATAGCATCTTACTTAGAGAAGCATCACCACCATAGAAATAAAATGTGGAAGGGACTCATTAACCTGACTTTTGCATACATTTCATTATTTTTAAATTTTTATTTTCATATGTAGCTTGCAGCAGCTTTTAGTCAAATATAATATTGCATTTGACTTAATAATATTTGAACCAAGAAATCCCTTTGGAAATTTAGAGTATTGTTCACAAATTATCCTGGGATGTGAGTTTGCTTTAAAATGTCAACCAACTGAAATTTGTCTTGAACTAAAATAAAACATTCAGTGGCAGTATACATTTTGAATGTCCCACAAGCCCTTCCTAAGGGTTTGAATGTGTTCAGTAGTCAAAGGTTTCATTGTCATGTTCACAATATAAGGGGATCCATGCAGCTAGCAATGTGCATAAAAAGCCAAATTGTATTACTTTTTTTTCTTATTGTGAGTGTATGAAGGACAGTTTTTCAGGCCTCTCTATATGTGTATCAATGCATACCTACAGATGTCTGTTATATATTATCATTGTGGTGGAAGGAAGCATTCAGTGTCTTTTCCACTATGAAAGGAGAACATTGACTTATGTGAGCATAGAAACCAGCCTGTGGAAATACGTCAAAAGGAAGCTGTGTCCTTGGAAGAATTTTAGGATACTTTTCAGGTTACTGACACTTATATGCAGCCCAAAAGCATAAACATGTAACGTTACATAAAAAAAATCTGTTTACTGATTCATAGCTTGACTGCATTCTTAATCGGAGAACAAACAGGAGGCGTGTATGTCAGCTGATTTACAGGCAGGCCAGTTAATGTGTTTTTGCGTCAAATGTAATCTTGTTTTGCACTATAAAAGGAAAACCAACCATATATTGATGTGCCTGTTTGTGGGCCCTTGTTTTTATTTTTCTTTGAAACAACTCAGCTTTCCTACGTTGATGCTGAAGGCAGTTCCATTAATATGGTCCAAATGACATTCCTTAAACTACTGAGTGCCTCCGCCCGACAAAACTTCACTTACAACTGTCACCAGTCAGTGGCGTGGCATGATGTATCTTCCGACAGCTATGACAAAGCACTGAGGTTCTTAGGCTCAAACGATGAAGAGATGTCTTATGACAACAATCCTTACATCAAAGCTCTTCATGATGGCTGTGCGGTAAGTATAAGCTCAGGATACTCTTTTCTACTTAAGATGGCAGGTTAGCTTAGTAATCAAATGAGTTCAGGCTTAATGCCATTATGACTCACATCTCCAAAGTTCAAAGTATCCTTTCATTGTTGCTGTTTGTTCTTCGCCTACACAGAATTGGTCTTTTTTTGAGGGGAAAAAAGTTATAAAGGAGGGACATTAGCTAAAACATTAAAGCAAAGGCAAATCACAAAGTAACAAACAATGCTCTGTTTGTTCAAAATGCAATTGTAAGGAAAGTCACTGGAGGAAGAGCATTGAGATATGTGATGGTAATTGGGAAGCATTTGTACTCTATGATGTGGGACAGATGAATAACAATAATGCTGGAAATGAAAGGTCTCTCTCTCTCGTTTTAAGATAATTTCACTCTAAAGCAGATAATGACAGCTGCAGCAGTGCCAAAGCTTTCTTTCTTAAAAAGTTAAAGAAAATCTTGTATATGTTCTCCTTCATATGCAATGAACTGCTGTTTGAAGTGGAATTGCAATCTGATAGGGATAGAAGGGTATTAAAGAGAAGATGTCTGAGCAACATTATTCATGCTGCCCTAAATAGCCCCAGTGTGTTACACAGCCCACTAAAGCCCTACAGTGTAACAATGTATCCAGGTTATTTGGAACAAATTTCTATTTAAATGAGTTAAACTTATTTACTCAATCTCCTGTTCCAACAGTCCATTCTCTCCACTGGTTCCCTTACCTATCACCTCTGTGGCCCAGTAACTCATAGCTTTCTTTCTGGCCACTATGTTTTCTCAACCAATTTAAGAGTCTCCGGGCCTGTGATGAAAAAAAAGTTTTCAATATTTTAGCTGGTTGTAATGTATTTTGAGGTGCTCAATTCGAAAAGCACAATAACAATGTTATACCACACATAGTTCTGTTAGTGTCATTACTAATTTTATTTAGTCACATATTACTACATTAAAAAGTCAAAACTGTATGTGATGGGGCAAATCTAAGGTCGCTTTTGGGTTTAGAATGCCAAACTCAGCATATAGTTAGTGCAGGTATGAACTGTTTTGGTTTGACAATGCGTGCAGACCAGCAGAAGATTCGTCTTTTGTATATTCAAAAAAGAGCAAAACAAGTAGAAAAAATACAAAACTTAAATTTCACTCTTGTGCAGCAGAGCTCACAGAAAAAACAGCAACTTCAACACAAACTTTCTAGTAATAATACAGTCATAGTTCCTCTTGAGTTTCCAACTCATGTATGGTCCTTGCGTTTAATTCATGCAGTGCTTTCTATCAGAAAATATGTCTTCTCCCAATCTTCATTTCTTGTCCATGGATGAGCATGGAAGACAAACTTGACAGTGTCAAATAGTCTGCAAGCCAGGAACTTACACTGAGTATGCCCAGAGGCAAACATTTAGTAAGCCCAAAACTCTCCCCAGTTATATCCCTTCAGGAGTGGACCAAAACTTGTTGACCTTAATTACCCCAATTACTCATCCTGTGGATTGTAATCAAATAGGGTGAGTCTTTTTCTCTTAACACACACACACACAGTAGAGATCCCACAGTAATTTAGCCATGTACCTTAATATGAACAGCCAAATCTTTGCTGCCTCAGTTCACTAGATAATGACAACCAATGTTGTTGCTGTTTGCTCCCATGAAGAATCAACTTAAGATTATGCTGTCAGTGTTCAATGAGTCTGTCTACACAAAAACTAAAAATGTGTGCTGCATCTACCAAAAGCTTAAGGTTTATTGTTTGTGTTTTGTACTTGCAGTCAAGAAAAGGCTATGGAAAGACTGTTATTGAAATCAACACTCCCAAAATCGACCAAGTGCCCATTTTTGATGTGATGATCAATGACTTTGGTGATCAGAATCAGAAGTTTGGATTTGAAATTGGTTCGGTCTGTTTCCTTGGTTAAGTTTAGAGCATTGAGAAGACTATCAACCAGAAAAAAATGCACCTTGGTGCTACCACCAATCCACTTGATGCCACATGCAAGTTTTGAATAAGAATGGAATAGAAAATTATGTTTCACCATGTATGTATGTCTTCTTTAGGAACACTCAGTGCCCCATAGGACCAGAATCACATGACTTAAACTTATTTGAGAAATTATAAAGGATCCTGTGGCAAAGAGAGGCAGCATGGGGTTAATTTAATAAATGCCATCCACCATCCTATTCCATGCCACCCAACCCAACTATACCTCCCTTGATTTCATGGTGCTGTAAAATTCAACGTCACGGTGCTCTTTCTATTGCAACACAAGAGGTGCTACGAAGGTCTGTTTAATAAACTGTAATTATTCTATGTACAGTACAATATTGCCCTTTCTCTGTCCATTTCCAAAACTTGCATGTGTCCCCGAGTTGAAACTGGCTCTTATGCTATCATGATTTTTAAAGTATGTTGTCAATACTGTGTATGTATTATGAAAAATAAAGTTGTAATTTCCAGTGAATCCAATTCCATTTTTTCTGATATGATAATAGTAATATTATTATTAATAATAATAAATCCCTTTGTATATATTGATGTTCGAGAACTCTGTTATTTGAAGTCACCAGCAAAACCTCAGGTGGCAAAACTGGAAACATTTGAATAGCACACTAGTCTGCTGTTACTGCTTTGTGATAAGGAAATCCGAAAAGGAAAGGGACTCTTTGAGGTTCTCTTCCATGGTGCTATACCTCAGACTTCTTCATTTTCTGTTTCTGATGCCAGGATATGTCCAGAAATGTGAGTGCGTGCAATAAGCAAGTTTCATGTTTGGGAATGGGAAACATATGTATGTGATTAAAATGAGTATGTAAAAGATGTAAGAGAAGATTCCTACCAATGTAAACTTTAAGGAGCTATTGCAGTACTGTTTCTTCTTCAACAATTCTGGTAACTTCAGAAACTTAGACCATGTAGAAGACCTCAAGATGAGGGCACTTGCCTCACAACCTCTACTGTCAATCTCCCAAACTAAAGCAAGGCTGGTGTATAAAAGAGGTGCGATGTAAACTGCTCTCACAAGGGTCGATCTTCAGATTTTACTAGGGTTGTATGGAGAAAAGCAAATGTTGTGGCTGCACCCTATAGGTCATCTCCAGAAGGATAGTCAAATGATTAGTCACATAGTCATTTATTTCAACAAATCTAAACTTTTTCACATCCATATGAAAACCAAATTCCCATATGAAAACCAAACATTTACTTGTGGATTATTTTATCTCCATTCATTTCAGGTGTGCTTAAATTATATCTGTGCTATAAATAATATTTACTTCCCTGAATGAGGCACCATTTGATACAGCCCATCCCAGATTTTTTTCTGCCCATCCCAATAATATATATGTATTTATCTCTCTCTCCAGTTAACATCTGGGTGAGCTTTTGAGTCTCCAGTCCTGATCAAGTGTCCATTTGCTCTTCCTGCTAAAATGATCCATGCAGTTGGCTATGAAACATGTTTCATAGTCTCCTCTTTTTTGACCAAATAGATGTAGCTTTAAAAGAAGCCTGAAAACATAAAAATAAGCAAACTCTTAAATGCTTCACCAGCTGATTTCTGTGGATCAAATGGCTCCTAAAAGCACTGGTGGACCGATTTAGTCTTACCTATTTCCCACTTAGGATGTATCTGCACTGTGGAATTAATAGTTTACATTCTAATTACCCTGGCTCAGTGCTGTGGAATCATGGGAGCTGTAGTTGTAAAAGGTTTGTAGTCTTCTCTGCCAGAGTGCTGGGACCTCATCCAGTTACAAATCTTACGATTCCACAGTCTTGAGCCATGGCAGTTAAAATGGTGATAAGCTGCATTAATTCTACAGGGTAGATGACCCTTAGTGGAGGTCAACTACACTCTGTGCTGACAATCATTTCAGTGATGTACAGATATTAGAGTGACCCCATGTCCACTCAGCCCCACATTCTGGATTTGTATTCCTAGAATCTATTTGCTCCTCTAGCAAGGGAGATGACAAAAGTGGGACCTCGTATCTATTTATGGATCCCCCTTGCTATACTTGTGGCAAATAAGTCTAGGTCATGTGATTCTACCTAGCTGCCAAGCAACCTATGAGGGACCAACTACCTATGGAGCTTATTTTCTGACCCAAAAGGTTATAATTTGCAATCCATACTTTTTTTTCCAAATGGCTGTTTTGGCCTGACCTCAAGACATTTTTCCAGGTAGTCAGACATAGATATTAACTTAACAAAACAAATCCTTTTGTACCTATTTTTCATAATATATGTAAGACTTGAAAAGTAAATGTTTGTTACTATTTCTTATATAAATTTGTTTAAATTAAATGATATCAGATTCCACTCGCTCATTTCCAGCTGTTTTTTTTAAAAAAATCGTGGAAACATTTTATATGTAAAACAGATTTTAAAGTCAACTGTTTGCTGTTCAGAATTCCTTTTAAAAAAGACCAGAGTTTGTATCTGTCACCTCAAAGAGGAAAAGTATACATTTTATTAATAAAATCAAGTCTTGTCTACCTGGACTGATCACTTTCTTTCTTATACATAGAATGTTATATCTGCTTCAGTAATATCATGCTATTGTGGCTCCAGATACTCCATCACATGAACCATGAAATATAGATCAGTCACAATCCAAAATGTGACTGAAGGGTATTTTTAATGGTCCAAATGTTCATTTTCAAAACCTGAGTTTGGTTTTTATCTTATTTTACCAAATTGTATGATACCTTCCCCAGAGGTTTTTGTCTCTCATTCTTTATCTACCTATAGCTAAAATCATTTGTAGATAAGCTAACACATGCACATCACTATCTACATACTAAATTTTTGAATGTGTTTTACATTTTTGAGGGAGAAAATATGAGTGACTTAAATACTATGACTAACTATAAGCTTCAATTTTTGGTGGGTAAGCTACCTAGCACAGCACATAACAAGAGCTTTTGCATGCATTAATAGCTTTCCAGATTTGAGAAGACAAGAGAGAGATGAAGCTTTAATCTGATTTAATATATCCAGTAAACTGATGTGATGAGCACAATAGCTGGGTTTACTTGATTGGGGAAACACTCTCCCAGGGCCCTTCCACACAGTCATATAATCCAGAATATCAAGGCAGAAACTTCCACAATATCTGCTTTGAACTGGGTTATCTGAATCCACATCCCATATATTCCAGTTTGAAGCAGATAATGTGTGGAAGGGGCCCCAGTCACTAATTTTCTGCAGGATATTTGAAGGTAAAGCTTTTTATAAAGATAATGAATTTAAAAGTGACTCCAAAAAAGAAAAAGAAGTCCGCTAAAGCGCATATATTATTATTATTTATTATTATTATTATTATTATTATTATTATTATTATTATTTTTATTTTTACCGGCAAAATCTCCCAAAGGACTCGATGCGGCTTACAAAGGCCAAGGCCACCAACAACAACAGCATACATACATACATACACACACACCGACTCGGGATCATATTTAAGGAGGCCATGCATCCTGCAGTTAAACATAAAAGGACTTCAAAATAAGCCATACACAGAATTTCGCACCCTCTGATATGAAGACAAGTCCAAGTTAAGACATGGTCAGTTATCTAGATGAAGGGGACTTTGGAGATTTCTTCTATTCTTAGTTGTGGAATCTTGCTTTAATTCTTCCCTGCTTTCCTATCTAATTTCTGGAATCTCTCTGGAATATCTGGAATCTAGTGGGCTCTCCCTCTGTAATAGCTTGAAAGATCTCTGGAATTTCTATCTTTGCTTTGCCCCTGTAGAGATCACTCTTTGTTTTGCACCTATATCTAATCTGCTCCTGATTTAATCATAGAATCATAGAGTTGGAAGAGACCTCATGGGCCATCCAATCCAACCRCCTGCCAAGWAGCAGGAAAARTGTATTCAAAGCACCCCCYACAGATGTCCATCCAGCCTCAGCTTAAAAGTTTCCAAAGAAGGAGCCTCCACCACATTCCYGGGCAGAGAGTTCCACTGCTGAACAGCTCTCACCATCAAGAAGTTCCTCCTAATGTTCAGATGGAATCTTTTTTTCTTGTAGTTTGAAGCCATTGTTCTGCGTCCTAGTCTCCAGGGCAGCAGAAAACAAGCTTGCTCCCTCCTTTTTTCTTTCTATTTGGGTGGAAAGAAAACACCTGAGTGGGGTAAAACATAGCCTTAGTGTTATMCTGTGTGGAGTTCAAAAGAGACTCCATGTACTTGAAATGATGAGTGCAGAAAAAAGAAAGTTTTATCTGCAAAGGACYTATATGAACATGACCTCTTCTGACACTCTATGGTAACATCTTCCAATGGCTCCTAGGTGGTCCTCTGAARATACAATGGGACTGCAACACATGGAACTAAGCCTGCCAAGTATAGGTGTACCAGTTGGCAAGATCTCTAACCATTATAAGTAGACAAGATAGTTAAGCACTGATTTCTCTGTTAAATGCAACAAAGAAACCATTTCCTTGTCAGTAGGAGGGAGGGGGTTTCATAGGAAAAATCAATTTTTTTACTTTTAAAATGAGGCTTGTCATGTTCCACGATGGCCAAGGATCCAGAAGAGAGCACTTCCTGTCAGTCTCTTGTTCAGAATATGGAAACCTTTTGCTTAAAGGCCTGCTGGCAAGTCTTATTTATTGAGCATAGCTCATAACAGATGGTTCAAATTAGTGTAGATTTTACAGGGGAGTAATAAATAAGTTTCTCCAGGATTTCACTAAAAATTCTTGTAATAGATCAATGTTTAAAAATTGAACTGACACGAGTTCCTAAATCACTGTTCATTGCCTTGTAAATTAAAATTCAGAGAGCATTTACTAAAAATATTTTTCTATCCAGATGTGGATAGATTTATCTGTAATTTTTAAAAACCTTACGTAATGTATGTATATATTCCAAGCCATGATGAATATCAGACCATCGTTCTTTTACAAAATTAATAAAATTAGCCAGGATATAGGATGATCGTTATGAGATTTCTGTATGCTGTGTGGCTAACACTGTTATATGCCACATTTTGGCAGGCATAAATATATGGATTTAAATGCATACATTTCAGCAGAATGGCTCCTGCCAGGAAGAGAAAATGGCAATTAAGGATTGCATCGCGCTCTCCACACATACATACGGATAAACAGAATAGTCATTCTTACTGCACATTTTTGCTTTATTAAATTCTGTGCCCAAAGTAAACTGACTTTGAAAGATACACATGAAACTTAATCCTTAACCATATTTCAATAAATGGGATTAAGATTTCAACAATTACTAAAGAGGCAAAATCATTTTCATTGTGTAGAAGAAAAAATCATTAATGTTATTATTACATTGCCTATTATAATGTATTATGAAAAATATCGGCCAAAACCTATTTGAAAGTGATGGAGCGTAAAGTTCCACCTGAATAGTTAACATGAAGGCCTGAGATTCAGAGAGGAAGAACAACAATTGGGAGCACTGGGGAGGTGCATCCCTGAAACTAACTGTGACCAATTGTGTCAAGGCAGCATTGCAAAACAGTAGAGTTATATAGTTTGGGGAAAGTAGGTACACTAGCATTACCACTTGATTAGACTACCAAAAAGACCCTTCTAACCCCTTTTTACAATTCAGAACTGGATGTACATACCAGGAAAGCATTTATTCAGCAGAGAAAAGGACTGTGCATAGTAGAAATGGAGGTGGAATGGGTGCAGCTTTCTATTTTGAGTTTCACTTTTAGTTTTTTTAACTCTCTATTTCATTTCATTTGGTTTCTGCATCACTTATTTCCCAAAAAGGAAAAAGTTTTTAAAATATATATTTAAAATGTCCAAAATGCCTGGTTGAGACAGTACAACATCAGATGAAAGTACAACAAAGTTCTGTTGGCATGGCTACTTCTGCTAAAGCCAGGGGCGGCTCAACCCATTACACAAAGAAAGCATTTGCAGTATAGTTGATTTTGCTCAGGGTCGCTCTTGGGGCGCTCTTGGGAGAAAATAGACCTTGACATATGCGAGTTGCAGTTACTGGGATGTATAGTTCACCTATAATCAAAGAGCATTCTGAACTCCACCAGTGATGTAATTGAACCAAATATGGCACACAGAACTCCCACCATATTAGTGATTGGTGGGGGGGGGGGGGAATACTGTTTGCTTACCATTGAAAATTACCTAGGGCCGCCTCTGGCTAAAGCCATTCCTCCCAATAAACTACCATATACAGTAGAGTCTCGCTTATCCAACCTTCACTCATCCAACATTCTGCATTATCCAACACAGTCTGCCTCCCAGCTGGACCCACAGCTGTTTCAATACATTGCAATGTTTTTGTGCTAAAATCATAATACAGTAATTACTACATAATAATACTGTATATTGAACTGCTTTTTCTGACAATTTGTTGTAAAACATGTTTTGGTGCTTTATTTGTAAAATCGTAACATAATTTGACATTTAATAAGCTCTTCCTCAATCCCTCCTTATTATCCAACATTTTTGCTTATCCAACTTTCTGCCAGCCCATTTATGTTGGATAAGCAAGACTATACTGTATACTCATATATAAATCTAGGAATTTTAGTCAAAAGTCATTCCAAAAAACTTGGATCAGCTTTCATCCCAGGAGAACCTAAAATAATCACCAATCCCCTCTGTTCCGTTTGCCATGGCACCACTTCTAGCCTTCAAAAATGACTCCCATATCCATAGGGGATATGTTCCAACACCCACCTACTCCTGCTAGAGATACCTGGAACCACAGATAATAGCCAATCCTATGGTTTGATTATATTTGGGCTGCAGGTATATCATGGATTAGAACTTGAGAACCTAGTGTAGTCCATAAACACTTTTGGGGATTATATTTTTGGAGTGTTAAGTTCAACCATGGCTATTGCATCTGAGATAAGGACTTCATACTGTATTAAAGTGGTTCTCAACTCATTGGTCATGAAGGGTTTTCTGTGGGGTTGCCGGACAATGGTGAACTATGATTTTTTTTTTAAAAAAGGGGAATACAAGATGTCACATTATCACATCCTGAACAGAGGTTTGTTTGCATAAATGTGTATTGATCTTTTGTTCACCAAGTTTGCTTGTGAGGTCCAGGGTCATGCGCAATTCGGTGATTGTCTCTATGGAATGCAGGTGCTGTTCAGCTTGTGATTGGTCAGTTTTTAGTGATAAATGCATACTGAGTGTCTAGTCTTGTTTCTTGTGGTGGGCAATGGTTATTCTTCGATACCAGAGAATTCTGAAAAATATATTAAAAAATCATATGTCAACACAAATTGAATGATCCCGCATCCAGGAATCTGACACGCAGCACATCATATTATTTCCCTTCTTTGGCCAACCACACAGCCAGCCAAGACCAATCAACCATGAGCCAAGCAGTGCTTCAAGGTCTAGACACCATGGTCATCACTATAGCAGTGCCAACAGCTCTAATTTTTAATGTACCAGGGTTGCAGATCATTTTGCCTCTATAAAATGAGGCCGTGACTTGAAAAAGGTTGGGAGCCGT